TTTAAAATGAATTAAATTCTACATTTACAAATATCAAAGAGATAATTAAAAAGCGAAACAGGCCATGGAATATGATTTTCTTTTTCACACAGTGAAAAGTTTGTCTTCTGATTTAAAAAAGTATTTAAAAACACACAATTTCTATATTCAATTTACATTATCAAAAGTACACCATTATACTTTAAATGAAGGGAAAAAATCCACTTGTAACTTAGATTACCAAAAAATCATTTAAATTAAAAATCTCTATATTTTAAATCCTTTATTGCCTAAAAAAAAAATGAAGAGTATATTCTATTAAGAATTATCTGGAGAAAATAAGCAGAAATAAGAAAGAATAAAAGCCCTAACATATCACTTGGTCATAAACAGATGAATCAAATCAGACCTTTAATAAAAGCTAACTTGATAAGCATAATCAAATGTGATTCGCAATTTTAAAAATCCTACAGACATTTCCAGATAAAAGTCATCCAAAACCAGTAAATAATGATGCATATGCAGAGATAATATTCACTGAATATGAGCTGAAAGAAGTTATTTTTTCTGACTTATTAAAACCTGTTTTAAAAAAGTCCTTCAATGTTTCTTCCAGTCACTACATTATTACAATCATCTGGGAGCAGAAAGGCAACTGGTCATCCGGCCTAAGCATACTACGAAGTAGTAGTTTGTCGATTACAAATAATAATTCATAACTCAAAAGTACCTTGTCATTAACCTTGCTCAACAATTACATACTGGGAAGACAATGCATCCAGAATCTCAATGTCCAGAGAAATGTTCTAAAACAATGTGACTGAAAGCTGAGAAGTTATTTACAGTATCAAGAGTACGTGAGTATAAAACCTGTAGAGAGAGTGTATAGACCAGGAATTAGAATGCAGAATCAAATCCATTTGCTCTTGGATGTCTTTCATTTCTAGTTCTTTGTGTGTTCTAGTTCTAGAACCATACCTAGAAGGTCAAGAATAAAGTGATAAAAAGGAGGTCCTAACTGTCCCCAAAGAGAGCATTTGGAAAGTAAGTGGGGGAAAAAAAACAAAACAAAACACTACTACTTACAGCAAGCATGGGAGCAAATTGCCTCTAGATATTTCCTTTAAATTCTTAGGCCTTGTGATATAATCACAGCCCTTTTTGAGGCCATTTACAGTCTGCACAGTTCCTCTGTTAAGCTGTTGTTACCCTCTGCACTTGCTAGTATTCTTTTCATAGCAGCATGAGTTGGAGTAAAGTCGTTTCTGCTCCCCGTCCCTGTTCTCCCACAGGTACCAGGTGGCCAAGTTTACACAGTGAGCCTCTCATCTTTTTTGACGCCAGCCACTGTACATAGTATTTCTTTTGTTTCACCCTTTTAGTAATACCTTTCTTTTTCATCAAAAGTTTTTTCCCCCTTAAAACACATGAAGACTAAAAAGCACAGGAAATGAAGAGAAAACTAAGTGGATGTCATCAAGATTAAGAGCTTTCGTGCACCAAAGGTCATCAACAATGAAGTGCAAAGGTGACCCTCGGAATACAGCACGTGCACAGGATTAATACCCAGAACATAAGATGAACTCTCAAAACAGAAAACAACTCAAAAAAGGACGAAGCATTAATAAACAATTCAGCAAAGACGACATACAAATGGTCAAGAAATACAAAATGATCTTTACAATCATAGAGAAATGCATCATAAGGAGATGAAAATAAAACCAGTCAGTCATTACTTCACCCAGTAGGGTGGACTGGACTAGAGAAAACAAACAAACAAAAAAACCCAAAAACAACTGTTGGTGAGGATATGAAGAAACCGGAACCCTGTGCATTGCTGATGGGAATACAGGAAGATAACTTGGCAGTTCCTCAAAAAAATTAAAGAATTACACTATTCAACAATGCCATTTTTGGATATGCACCCTCCCTCCAAAAAATCGGCAGGGATTCAAGACATTTGTTCACCATATATAGAGTAGCACTGTTCACAAGTCAAATGTGGAAACAATTAAAATGTCCATTGACTGAAAAATGGATAAACAAAATATGACATGCATGTACAATGCATTATTTAGCCTTAAAACAAATAAGGCTCTTATATGTGCTGTAAGATGAATGAACCTTGAAAACATTCTGCTAAAGGAAACAAATCAGACACAAAAGGACCAATGTGTGAGTCCATTTATCTAGAACAGTCAAATTCATGAGACAGGACAGTGGTTCCCAGGGGCCAGGAAGAAGAATGAATGGGCACAGACATGCCGTTTGGGATTGGACACTGCTGGGGAACACAGTGGTGACAAGTGGCACAGCAACATGAATGTACTTGAGCTGCTCAGCTTATACTTGTAAATGGTTAAAATGGTCAACCTTATGTACATTTTAACATAGAAACTCAACTGCAAACTCCTAGCTCCATCCAGCTTCTCAATATTTAATACAGATATGAACAGCTATACTTGACCAGTTAGTTAATTTGTTAACTGGGTTAAAAATGTGTCCTCCTATAAAATTAGGAAAACTTTTTAAAAAATAGGCACTTCACTTTTTAGGCTCTTTTAAAAATATTAACCAGTGTTTAATATTTCACCTATGAGATAAAAATTAATATACCAGCAAGCACATATACTTGAAAAACTACACTGCGTATTCTATCAGTCATCAATTTTCCTCTATCATCTTCCTTATAGTACAGTAGTTTCATACATGACAGACTTTTACCCGAAATATCTAAAATTTAAAAGTAAATATGTATATAAATGGGATGATTGCATACAGTATTCCAATGCTAGACCTGAATTACTGACTTTCAGTATAAATAAAGAAAAGGGAGGGAAGAGGTATTGCCTTTAAGTTAAAGACATACATGCATTTCTAGGTTTAAAACAGAAAACATTTTAAGTTGCAAAATTAAAAGGGATTTCAAGGCACACATTATGACAGTGCAGGAAGAATTTCATGTAGTAAATCCATTGTACCAAAAGGAACTTCTCAAGGACCATCACATAAATGCAGATATCTCACCCCACACACCATGAAGATGGGCACTTGCTGTTGTCAGGAGTGAAATAAATGACATGCATAAATATCAAAATTACTCTAGATATTTTGGACCATTTAAACAAAGTGAACAATTAGAAGAATAATAAAAATGAAATCACATGGATGGAAGCAACTGACGATATATAAGCACGGAGGAATCTGGGCATACAAGTAACAATCAACAAAATGGTGCTGCTGTTTCTTCAGAAATAAATCTCATATTGTAACAGATTAATGTAAGTAATCTCAGAACTAAGATCAGTTAATATTTTCAGTTCCACATTTTAAGATAGTCCATCTTGCCTCTATATCCTAGAACATAGCAAGTATTTAAAAAACATACTGCCTAACTGAAGGTCATTAATAACCTGGAACTGCGTATAGTAGCTAGGGAATTCCAGAGCAAACAATAAACCTGAATCTAACAGGCGTGTCATGAATTATTATCTCCATCATTATTTTAACCGTAAAATTCTGTGGGAATAATGGATAAAAACATCAACTCCTAAAGTAGTATATATGTAACCACAAATCAGAAAACTCATTTATCAGAGTTTACAGGAGGCCAAAATATTAAGGCTAAAAATCAGGGAGTTAGGCTCTTTCCAGTAGGGAAATAGTTGCTATTAAAATACTGAAGATGGACATGTTAAGAAATGGGCCCACTAGGATGAAATGGGAGTTAGATTACTGAACTGGCTCACAAAGGGCAGGGTGTGACAGGCTCTCACAGGAGACACCACTGTGAGCCAACTTTTCCTGTCTCCCAGTGCAGAATGAGAAATCAGGCTGCCTCAACATTTTATAAGTTATGAAAATACCTATAGGGATCTCTGACATTGTAGAAGAACAGAATACTGTCATTCTATATAAAACCACACATGTGCAAGATTATCTTCCAGTTTCAAAAATGAGATAAAGTTCAAGTTGTGTCCATTCATAGTAAATGCAGAGACACTTTTCACCAGTGTAGTTTCACATTTCCCTGACTCTTATTAAAGACAAGTAAAACTTAACTTACAAATCAGTTTAGCTTAAGCTAATGTTAAAGGCAGTAATTTATTAAATTTTGGTTTGAGGCTATTTAGCAAGACATTTTTTTATCATGAATACACAGAATGGGAAGCTTTGGAATCTAAAGTTTTGTGTTTTTTTTTCTAATCTTCAATTCTAAAAACATCACCAATACTATAGAAATGACCCCTGAAAATACAGTAAGGTAACCAAAACTAAATAAAGCGTTGGGCATTTCTTTTAATCACGATACTAATACTGAATCTCTTTTCTAATGATAACCAGGATTCAGTCCCCAGTCTTAATTCTGTATGTGGTAATCCTAGTTCTTAAAGACAGTATCTTAGATATAAAAAAAAAAAACACCTTATTTTATAAAATTCACCTTTCTTTTCTGATAGGATCAGATTAAAGAAGCATTACCTGCCTTTGAGAATAAAAGTAACAGTGACAGTTAAGTATTATTAAACTGAGAAGACACTTGGTTTTTTTCCTATTGCTGGCTTTATCACTAGCTTGTTTAAGAATAATCTGTTAAAAATCAACAAGCTTTTTAAAAGACAATTTCTAGATTTATGTTAACTGTTCTATAGTGCCACTTTATGAATATGTATTTAAATAAATAGTATACAGTTCTTTAAAGAATATTAATATATTAATATTAATCAATGACAATGAAACTGTATATTCTCAGGAAAAAAATTCACTAAACACAAAGGCAGTAACTAGAAATCCTAAATGATTTTCTGTTCTCAAGAAGAGATGATTTAACTTTTCCACAAATTACCAATCACTACTAATTTCATAACAAAAAGGTATAATTTGGAGGGAAGGGTAAATCTCTGGGGATTCTGAAATTTCTCCTATCTACTTGTGATAATTCATGAGTCTAGTAGAAATTATAATTTTCAGGAAATATATAAGAAATCCATGCTAAATAACAACAGTGGACCTTGAAGGCATGAGCTTTTGTCACTTTATTGTTGACCAATGAGTGTTATCCAAAATTATAGATTGTAACTTAAATTGTACAACACAAAATTATGCTAATGGTAAAAGTCTGTTGGAGTTTATCAAATATTCATTAATATATTTTTACATCGCTATATGAACATGTGCTCAACTGCTAATAATAAAAGTAATAATTGTTTAATCACTATGAAAATCCATATTGCAAATAGTTGTTTCTGTTTAGAAAAATTCACACAGCTTTAAAAATGGATTAAATCCATTTTAATCCTAATCTACATATAGATTATAAACAGCAAATATAACTGGTATTTTTTCAACACTGATATCAGACTGATGTAGCAACGGCAGTGCACATAATTCAAAATGAAGAATATTAAAAGCCCAGTGGAAGTCCAAGTTTTCACCTATTATGGCAATTGCTTTAATGCTCGAAAAAGGTGGACACATGCCTAAAAGCACGTTCACCACCTATTTGTCTACTGTGCTGCAAGAACTATTCTCTTCCCTACTATTTTGAAGCATATGCACAACCACCGTACAACAGTCACTTCAAGGTTAACCAGTTATCTTTTGTCCTACAAAGTCCAAAAAATATATTAAATGCAACCTTTGCTTTTCATAATGTCTGCCCAGATTAATCCTTTAAATCAGCAAAATCAAAAATCAAAAAAGCACAAGAGATATTTTCAGACACAACTTGTATCTACTGTGCATGAAAAATGTTTAACAAAATGGCAATTTTAATAGATAAATGTAAATTTGAATGCATAATACCAAATGGAAAGTAGCTGAACCACACAGAGAAAACAAGGCTTTCATTATCTCCAAATCTAGGTGTTTTACAGTAAAGGAAATGTTAGAACATGAATATTAGACCACCTTTCAAACTGAAAACTATTTCTTTGTAAGACATAATTGAAATCAATATAGCCTAAAATTATAATTCATGAAATGGGATTAACAGACCAAATTTAAGTATTCTTAGCAATTAAGAGGGGAAAAAAGCACAAAGTGATTTAAAAATAAAATACACTAAAGTGATCATGTAACAATTATATCAAGAAACGAAAGATAAGGTACATTTTCATGCGCTACAAGGGTGATCTCTATCACGCACACACACACATGCATTCTCGCGCTCCCATCATCTCTCTCTCTCTCTCCTCTTCAGACATCCAACACTCCCTCCCCTCCCTGGAAGACAGCATACCAATGAGAGCTTGCAACTGTCAGAGATTCATAATCCAGTTCAACAAAAAGGCAGTTAAAAATTTAGTACTCAAAGATATTCTGAAGGAGAAAGAAATCTCAAAAATACAACTTCATGAATGAAAGGAAACACTGTGTCCTGTAACACATACAGTTTACACACGCCACATAGCTTACACATGCCATTATGTGTGGAGAACCAGTCATCATGTGTGTAGTAGTGAGGTAGTATTACCACCCCTTCCTTGGGATGGATGTTTTCATCTGCTGTCCTTCCAGAAAGGTCCAAGATTTTTGTGATGATTATTATCAATGATCAGCAAATGTATTATTTCCTCTTATAAAATGTCTGTTTTTCTAAATCACTGTAGAACAAAACTTTTCAAATCTTTCAGAGACAACTGTCATTTGCAGATAGAGTTTCATCAATAATCTCTCCTAGGAAACAACTACCTGCTGCCTATGCCTTTGTGAACTGGCAGGCAAAGAAAACCAAAGGATAACAGGAAGATCAAACACCAATCAATTCAACTGTCTATAAAGTGACTGTAATTAGTAAATAACTATAAAATATCCAATAGCATAATTAAACTGGATTTTAAAAAGTCAATCCCCAACTACACATTACACTGCTAAAAGCTGTAATCCCTCTCGTGACACAGAGCCATCTTCTATACAACACAGACTGTCCACCCGGCCACCTACCCTCATTTTAAGCCCTGTCAATGACCTGTGGCAGAATTACGGTTGTGGGTGTGTTAGAAATGAGAAGAGGAAACTGAGAAGATGTTAATGAGCAAGAATACAACAAGCGAATAAAATATGGAAGGTGGAAGGAAACAGAGTGCTCTACCTGCTAAGCACCCATTACATCACCACAGCTTTCAAAATGTACAAAGTGCTTGCTTACATCACACATACACATTTGTCAGACATGACAATTAGAGTTAATCTACAATAGAAAAAAAAAAAAGGAAAATGAATGTATGAAAGGAGGAGATGGAAAACTATTCTATATTCCCTGGCCCAAAAGAAAAAACGAAATCACATTGCTTTAATGTTAAAGAGCTCTCTTAAATGTGTTTTTAGTCACAACAGTCAAACTGGTATAAGTGCTTTGGCAAGGTGGGATGCATTCCATGGTATCTGCAAAGGCCTGCTTTTCTCTGTTGGTGGTTCAGCTTATGAAGAACATGTATGCAAAGTAACAGCTCTCACATTGCTTCAAACTCATCAATACGCTGCTTTGTATTGCCTTGTCGGATCTGCCGCAGAGTCTTGTATTTATCACGGCCTGCTTTAACATTCTCAGCGTGTAGGACATCGTTTTGTGTTTTCTTGGTTTCATCTCTGGCTTGGGCCAATTCTGAACTTAATGCCTTTGTGTAAAAAAAATGTCAGGCAGTTAAAAATTTAGTACTCAAAGATATTTTTCTTACATTAAAAATATATTTAAAAAAAGATTTAAAAACAAAACAAATCTGTCTTTTCAGTTTTCTAAAATGCCCACTGTGAAATCCTCTTTCTTTAAAGTATGTAAGTTCATTTTCCTTTCAGTAATGGTGGGGGGCAGTGGTTAAAGAGGAATACCCATGAATTTTCATTTCTACACTCATCAATTATGATGATTTTGTGTTATTCTAAATTTCCTTCATTTACTACTCCAACACTTGAAAACATAAGGTTCAGTAAAAATTGAATTAAAAAGTATTCAATGTTATAATGTTACTGTAATATCTAAAGTGTAAACTATCAGGGAAACATTTTCTAACAGTTTTATTATGTTTATTATTACAACTACAACCTTGTTTCTTTTATTAATATTTATACACCTTCCTGATTACAAAAATCAAATAACTTTTTAAGAAAAAAGTCTAATTAAAATTTCTAATATGGATGTAGTAAGTACACTAAATGACTATTTGTGACTGTAAAATCTGAACAAGTAATTGCAGTTATGTATTGTCATAGTCTCTTAAATTATCCTATCTTAAATGCATACTTTACTGTTTAAAAGCTAAATTGAATTGTTTTTAAGCACAGGTGTGATTAAATAATAGCACACTAGTTAAGGAAGGCCTGCCTGATTACACAAGGCTAACAAACCTTTACTAATGGGGTCATATGTAACGGAAGAAATAGTATGACTACTGACTATTTACCTCGGCCTGTAATTCTGCATAAAGGCTTCTAGAAACCTTATGTTCCTTCTAAGTAAATTTGTCTTAATAAAAAGGGAAAATGCTAACTAAATTTTAAATATGAATTCAACTTCAAATTAGAAATACCTGGAGTTGCTTCTTAACACGCTCATTTTTCTGTGTTTCTGTTACACGTTCTTCCTCACTTCTGTGGTTCATGACACCGTCATTTGATAATTCAGCACTAGCCTGAGCACTGTTCTCATCATGTTCATCATGTTCATTTTCTGTTGGCGGAATGACTGGTGGGGGTGGAGGTGGAGCCGACATCACAGTTTTTAACTCTTCTTTGGTCTTTTCCAAGTCTTCTTGGGCTGCAAAAGCCTGAACATTATTGATAAATTTATTAGTGACTTTTTCATAATAGACCATCACTTAGTGAACAAAAAAAAAAGGATAAATTCACATAGATGGAGCTAGAAGGGAAATATGTCAGAAGGAGAAGACAAATACCAGATGGTATCACTTATCTATGTGGAATACAGAGACACCAAATTAAGGGTCAGATAAAGACAAGTTGAAAAGCTAACCCTTGAAAACTGACTATAGAACTACACACTGAGAGGGGGAAGGGTGAGAAAAGACAAGAACAAAGAGGGAAGGGGCACACGAGACTATGTGGTGGGCCATGAGGGGTATGTTGGCGGGTGCGCTGCAGGGTACCTGGGTGGGGGGGCCTCTGCTTCATGATACCAACAATCACATAAGTCAATGTTACCTTAAAAAAAAATAAAGAGAGGGCCCTCCCTGGTGGCGCAGCGGGTTAAAGCACAGCACTGAGAATCTAAAAGCCGCTTCCGCATGAGTTCGATTCCCGCCTGCCCCGGAGGAGACC